GGGGCACCCCATCGCCTCCCTGCCCTCGTGCCCCCCGTGACCCGGGGCACCCCATCGCCTCTGCTGCCCCCGGGGGCAATCCCATCACCCCCGCCTCTGTGCCTGGTAAAGGGGATCACCAGTCCCCAGGGCACCCCCGTCACCCGTGTGCCCTTCGCCCTCCCATCACTCCCCATCGCTGTGCCCACCACACTGGGACACCACCCTGCAGTGAGGCACCCTCGTCCCCTGCGTGCCCCGCACCCCCCAATCCTCCTTGCACCACGGGGCTCATGCTGCCACCCCCACCGCTGTGCCACACTCTGCGCCTGCCCCGGGGATGGTCCCCGGGTTGGTGCTGGCCCCTGCACACATGTGTTAGTGCGGGGGGGTCCATGCTGTCTGTCCGGCACAGCCAGGGCAGTGCCCGGCTTCTGTCCACTGTGTGGCCGAATGGGTCTTGCTTGCGTTCGTCTCAATTTAGTGTTGGGACTATGCGTGTTAGAGGTAGGTGCCATCCGAGGGGGACTCTTGGATGTGCCAAGATGTGGCAGTCTGACACTGAGTGCAGGGTCAGCCCGTTTGGAGAAAAAATATCTCACAAGGCATTTATTTCCTAAATTGGATTACACACGTATTTTCCTTTACATGCGGGGACACTGCTAACGGGAAGGCCTTGCATGGGGATTGTCACCCTATGCTTTGCAAACGGCACCTGGGATCGCAGCAGCAGAAAGAAGAGCGAAGAAGAAATGTTCCTGTCTATTTTGTCAGGTTACTTGGTGTGTTTGACAGCACCGTGTATAATCGAGGTCCCTGTTTTCTCTCTGCAATCAGCTCCTCATTGTGTGGATTTCCTCACAGAATTCAGGAGAGCAAAACATTTTAGCAAATTAAGAAAAACGCCTCTTTTTCTTTTAAGCCCGCAATAATTGGCAGCTTTTAGTAGCTGAACTTGTTTGTTTTGTCTTGTTGATTGGATTACAAGTGGAGGGTGCTGAGAGCAGCCATGTCCTCAGCGAGTGCTGTGGGCAGAGTTGCATCTTCACCCGTCGCTAAAGCACCTGGTGCTCCTGTCAGCCGAAAAAAAACCTTAGTGCATGAAATTCAGGGCGTGAGGGGAAAGTAGCACCTGGGTGAAACAGACAGTCTTGTTTCCCTCTCTAAACTGAGAGAAATTTGTAAAGGGGAAGAAGAAAAGCACAAATCAGTAGTCTTGTCCTTTTATCCTGGCTTCACCAAGTCGCCTTGTTTTTGTCGTGCTCTGGGGAAAGCCTGCTGCTGCCAGGAGAGAAGAGATGGCTTTTTTTTTTTTTTTTTTGGTTTCATGACCGTAAAGAACACACTCCAGGCCGGGGCCAGGACAGTGATTTTTTAATTTTCTTTCTTTTTTTTTTTTTTTGTTTTTTTTTTTTTTTTTGGTTTCATGACCGTAAAGAACATCCTGCAGGCTGGTGCTGGCTGCAGTCAGTGCAGGATCGATCCAAAGCTTTTTCCTGGAGTCCATGGATGGCTGTGAACGGCATCTGTGTCACCAAGTAACTCTGCCTGCTGGTCTTCATGGGTTACCAAACCCTGAACTTGGCGATTTCCCTCTGTGTGAAGTGTGGCGTTGTGCATTTACCTTGTGAAACTGCAGGGACTCTGGGCATTTGCCTGAATTGCCAAATGAATGAAGAGCAACGGAAGAGCAACGGATTTATGTTGTCCTGGGCCGCTTTTCGCCGGCAGAAGGCTGAATGCAACACCAGCAGTGCCGCTGCATCGCTGTCGCCTGTCTTCAGGTGTTGGCCCCTCCTCAAGCTTCTTCCTGCTAGTGGGATTGAGGCAATCATCTGGCTTTTTTAATTGGAAGATCTGGCTGTGTCCCAGGAGGAAACCCAGTTGGTCCGGTGCCAGGCACATCAAGAGTGGTGTTCTTGATGCAAGCTGTTCTTAATTATCCCCATAATATATTAAATCTGAATTTTTGATCCCCCTTTTTCTTTTGTGTCCTGCTAGCTTACTTCTGCTGAAGAACGACTGCTCCATTTCACTCTTTGGTTCGAGTGTGCCAACCAGAGCCTGCAGTGCTGCCTTTGCAGTTGACCAGGAGGTTATTTGTAGAAAAGGAGGTAGATGTTAAAGCAGGGCTTCAGTCGGTATGAGAAGATCCTCCCAGGAGTGCTCCAGTGGCGTGCTGCTGGCGGGGCTGTCCTGCAGTTGTAGCTCTCCACGTGAGCGAAGGCTTGCAGAACTGGACCCGCAGCTTTCCTGTGCCTCCATGTGATCTATGTGAAAGGGTTCCCGTAGGCACGGTGGTAATTTTTTGGTAGCACATGAAGTAGTGTGATCTGCTGCTTTCCAGTAGCTGCTCGTGCCCTGCACTCCCCAGCAGCTGGAGAACAGTGCTCTCCTCTCTCCCAAGCATGCAGCATTTGTGACCTCTTCTTGGTGAGAAGTGATTGATGAAAAAGGTGTTCACGGCGTCTTAGTGTTACTTGCTCCACACTGGAGATGCAGGAGAAACGAGTATTTAGAGTGTCCTTAAAATGCCATGGATTATGGCATCAAAATGCCATGGGTACTCCCCATCGGGAAGGTAATGTCCCAGTTGTCCAGGAGAAATTTTAAAATGACAAGAGGCACTTGCGATGGGAAGATGAGGTGGTTGCTTCTGTTGCGCTGTTCCTTCATGCTGTGATGTGTTTACGGCGTTTCACTGTCCTTCCTGGTGCTGTTTGCTGAGCAAGCTCTCATCAGGAGCTTTTCTCACCTTGCTGCTTGGAAATGATCAGACCAATAGGTTTTAGTGTGGCACATAATTCTGAGCCTTTTGCAAAGATCTTGAAGCAAAGTGATAAGCAACCTAAGACATCTCCCCTCCCCCTTTCTTTTCTTCCTTAATCCACAGGTATAACATACAACCCTGGCATGCTGTTCGTTTTATTCGTGGGTTCCTTGTCATAAAGAAATGGTAGGAAGGAGTGGTGCATACAAATCACTCCTTTTTGCAATTTTTTTTCCATAATCAGATTGTTTTATGTGTCTTACATCTGACTTCTAAAAAGAAAGAGTGTGTCAGGCTTAGTCCACCAGTCGCGTGCTGCTGGCCGGGTTGTCTCCCTAGATGAGCAGTCCCCATGCCCTGTATTTATCTGGAATATTTCAGAACATTTTAGCTGTCATGAAAAATATTTGTGCCAAAGCAAGTGAGCCCATTCTGACAACAAATCTGTCTGGGGGTGTGTGCTCTCTTGGAGTCCTGAGGGAAATGGAAATGAGGGAGAGCAACCGGCAGCTTTTGCGTGAGAGGTGCTTACAGAGGAGCACAGCGCTGGGAGTGGAAGGAGCCACAGTCCAGCTCTCCTGCATGTCCCAGGACCGGGGTGGCAGCTGGTGGCCGAGCAGGTGCCCCCCAAAGCATCTCTCCCAGGAGCCCATGTTTAATATTTCCTTCTTAAAACTGTATGTAAATCCTCCTGCAGTTCATAGCCCTGTGTCTGATCAGGTCTGGGAATGCTGATCTTCAAAACAGGGAGGCATTTCTAACACTGCTGCTGACTCTAACACTGCTGTGAGTCGCTGCACACCTAAGATTTGTCTTCATTTGGCTGTGCTCTATCACACTGTGTCCCCGGGGAGATCCACCCAGGCTGCTACCCTGTCTGGCCCGTGCCATCCCAAGTATCTACTTCTTAGCTCTTTTCGTACCCACTGTTTGTAAGCATCCTTCCTCTCTGCAGCAAATGCCTGAAACCAAGTCCCCATTAGGCTTTCCTTGCCCTCCTTCCCTTTCCTCTCCTTGTATCGAAGGGGTGTGCGGAGACAGGTGGGAGTGTTGCTTTCGTACGGTAGTTAATGCTGTGGAGTAGAGGTGGGTGAGAGTGGCTCTGTGGGAGAAGACAGCAGCAGGCGGCAAGCAGCTTCCCTCCTGAGCGAGCTCCCAGCACCCAAGTGCTCTGTATTTGGGCCGTGCTCGGTTTACCATCCGTGCTTGTGTCTCCTTTCAGGAATGGATAATCAGACGGTGCTGGCTGTGCAGTCCTTACTGGATGGTCAAGGAGGCGTGACGGATCCATCTGCTCAAAATGTCAACTCCACCACCATCCAGCCGATGGGTGAGTCTCGGTAGGACCGTGAGAGAGGGGCGGGGGCTGCAGGTCTCTTCCTACAGTGTACTCTTGTGACTGGCACGATCTGTAGGTGTAGGGCGCTGCTGCCCTCGGCAGGACTAGGCAGAGCAGGAGAGGGGGATAAGTGCCCGAGTGAGTTGGTCATGGCAACAGACTGGGCCACGCATTTACAATAAAGGCATGAAAGGAGGGAGCAGCCACTCTCCCTGCCACTAGTGCCTTGTTACTGTTCATATTTCTTATTTAATGAGCCGTTCCTTACCCCCTGGGGAAGTACAACTACTCCAGTCATTGAGTATCTCATCTGAGTGAATGAATACAGAAACTGGTGCTCAATCAGGACTCACTGGGTGGATACTGAGTTATCCTCTGGAGGAGTTATAGTCTGTGTCCCCAGAAATGTTCAGGCTGTGAATCAGATGGGAGGCACAGCCTTGTGAGTCCAGCTGGATCAAGTGCAAAACAGTGTGTGCTTGTGTGGTTTGCTAATGCTGCAGGTTGCATCTAGGACATGGTAACTGGGTTGTCTTCCTTCTGCTTCTTACGTCAAGCAGCAGCACCAAAGACCAGCAGTCTTGTGTGGGGGTGGCTTTCGGACACAAGCTGCTGTTGACTCTGTGCCCTGATCCAAGTTACTTCTCTTGGAATAGAATGGAATCATAGAATGTTTTGGGTTGGAAGGGACCTTTAGAGGCCATCCAGTCCAACCCCACTGCAGGGAGCAGGGGCACCTTTAACCAGATCAGATTGCTCAGAGCCCCGTCCAACCTGGCTCTTCCTTTGTGCAACATGAGTAATAAAATCTGCCTCAGCCGGCATAATGCAGGTGCTTTGGAAGAAGCTGTTTTGACTAAAAGCAGAGGGTGCTTCAGGAGCAAGGCTGGGTTGGTTGTTCATGTCTTTGGGATGAGAAGACAGACGATGGGATTCAGTTTGTCACAGGGAGACGGCAGGTTTTGTGTACGGGAGCAGGGCTGAGATGCGCTCAGTCGCATCAGTTGGCTTTAAGGGAGAGCTTGGGATTGGGGAGGAGGGACAGCTTGGCCCTTGCAGCCGATCTCTCCTGATGATGATGTCCTTGAGGTGCTAAGATCCAAAAGGTGTCTATTTTCCTACATCTGTGGTTGTTAGGTGTAGCACTGGGGAATGCAGAAGAAAGGCTGCAGCACTGATCTGGTCCTCTTAATTGCAGATGATGAAGATGTGTTCCTCTGTGGGAAGTGTAAGAAGCAGTTCAACTCACTGCCTGCCTTCATGACCCACAAGAGAGAGCAGTGCCAGGGAAATGCTCCTTCCCTCTCCACGGTCTCGCTGGCCAACAACAGTGTGTACACCCCCTCCATCGCATCAGTGCAGCAGGCTCCGAGCGCCAGCCGGCAGGTACTGTGCTGCAGGCAGAGGCTCTGCTGCTCTATCGCTGTGATTTTGGGAGTGGGAGGGACCTCTGGGTCATGGTTTTAGACCCAGTGACGCCTCATGGCTGACCTCTCTTCTGGGCAGCTTGTTGTGGTCCTCTTGGCTTTTGACCTTGTGGTTAAAGCTGCCTGGACCTCCACAGGAGGTGTCCTTCAGCACAACTGTCTGATAGCCCTTTTTTTCAGGACAGGAGGGGTTTCATATTGTATCTGTGCTACAGCCAGACTTTGGTTCTATTGGAAAGCCCCTGTGCCACAGCCTGGCAGGCCAGCCATGTGCCTGGGTGCATGCTGTGCAGTGCTCAGGGTGGAATGGCTCTCGCTGTCCCCCAGGCTGTGGTCTGGCTCGTGGGCAGAAAAGGAGGGCAAGGTCTGGCAGCTTCATTCCTACATCCCTCTTCTCAGTCTCCTGCAGATAAGCCCACATAATGTGGTGTGATAAGTTTTAAGGGAATATCCTCTCTGGAGTAACTCTCCTTCCCCACAGACTTCTCAGGAGTAAATCCTTTGTGCGTGACGCGAACTGTGCCTGCAATCGTGGTCGTTTCTGAAGTGCTTTCAAACCAACTGCTTTTTTCAAGTTAACTTAGTGGCAGTGGATGGTGCTGCCCAGGGCTGCAAACACAAGTTGTTTCTGCCCAGAAAATGGGACAGCTTCCCTCCCCTCCTGTAATCTGACTCAAGTCTGAAGAGATGAGCCTGACGTTCACCGTCTGCAGCCAGAGCAGCCTCCCTCAGTTCTCCACCTTACTTAGCTGGGGAAAGCACCCAGGAAAGGCCTGAGCTTGTCTGCGACCAGTTTGTCCTGCAGATCTTGTTTAATAACCCCTGATTTGAATTGTAGCCAGTGGCCACTTTCCCAAACCACTGTGATATTTTTTACCTCCTCTTCTGAAAAACATTTCTGGAGCTGCCTTATTGTTACGGCTAAAAACACCAACAGGTTTGCTTTAGATAATTACTGTGGCTCACCAGAGGCTGTGAAAGCAGAGACACCGACGTTCAGTAAAAAGCAGTGTCATCATTTTTTGTTTATTGTTTTGTCCTGTTGCTGGTCAACAATGCATCTTTTTTTTCCTTTCAGCAAATTTCTACCTACATCACTGTTCCCCCTTCACCTTTGATCCAAACCCTGGTGCAGGGGAACATCTTAGTCAGCGATGAGGTGCTGATGTCGGCCATGTCTGCTTTTACATCCTTGGACCAGCCCATGCCGACAGTGCAGCCTGCGGCGCAGGTAAGGGGCATGTGTGGGCCCCTGCTGTGTGGGGCTGTGCTTGCATGGCAGGAGAGTCTTGTCGCTCAATCGGACTCTAGAGATCTGCTTCGATGCTGAATCCTGGGCACGTCCCAATGCGACAGCCAGGCTTGGGATGGAGTGATGGATAAATGATAGGATAGCTCCAGGGCCTGCTCCCTCTTGGTATCCTTGTTGCTAGATGCCCAAATCTTTGTAACACGGTCTCTCCAGCCTTGTGTTGAGCCTCTGTATAATGGTTGGTTTCCAGAGCCCTTGACAGTTTGCTCCAAGGATTCCTGTCCTCCTCGGATGGTTGTTTTGGGCTCTCCCCAGGGCTGGCCAGGCTGTACACACTCTCCATGCTCTGAAAATGTTCTTTGTAACCAGAAGGATTAAAAGCTTTAAAAACAAAGCAAAAAAAGAAGTGGGGCTTGAGCACTTGGGTTTTGGTGGAGACAATGTCTACCAGCAGGTCATGCCAGCCCTCTGCAAGCCAGCACAGTCTGGTCCAACTTGGCAGTCGGACAGTGCTGCGTTGTGTCAAGACGTGGTCGCTGTTCCTGAAGGTGCTGTTTCAAATTGGGATCGTGAACGTGTGTGAGGGAGCAGCCCCTCCAACTTATCGCTGCTGCATTGTCAACATCTTGTCTGTCTGTCTCTCCCTGTTCTGGTTTTAGAGCAGCTTGAGTATGCACGCTGGGGCTGGCTACCTCTCGCAGCTAGCCTCCACCGCCTCCCCCCCCCAGCCTGGGGGCTCCGGGGCAGCCCAGCGCCGGTGGCAGCGGGGTGGTCGAAGTGTACAGTGCGCCTGCTCCTATGGCAGCAAACAGCACAGTGGAGATCCAGACGCTGGGGATGCAGCCCTATCCGCCCATGGAGGTAAGGCCAGGGGCTGGCTGCAGGGGCTCTGTCCTCCTGGGCCTCTTCTAACAAGCCGGGCTGCTCGGGAGTCGCCTGGACTGGAAACGCAGAATTAGAGTCTGGGAAGATGCATTAGGTTATTTGACAGTGATTATTTCCTCTGGGAGAGGGTACTGAGCAGAAGGATGTCAGCAAGATGACAGGGATTCTGAGAACAAGAAAAGAGGTTAAGAGGGTTGGAGGGCTTGGCTGGCACGGGCTTAGGAGATCTGAATGTCTGCTGTGGCTGAGGGATACCTGCGGGTGTTGGGAGTGAGAGGGAGCTGAGGTGAGGGGGCTTACCTCCCAGAGGGGTGCAGAGCAGCACCCTGTGTGCTGCAGGCTTAAGTGGAGAGAAAAATTTAATCTGAATATCGATAAAGCAAGCTTGATAAGGCAGCTTCTCCTAAAGAGAGGCACAGGCAGGGGTGGATTTTGGGTGGGTCAGCTGTTCACAGCCTCCACTTTAGCGTCGCCATTCACAACAGAAACTGCTGGGTGTAACAGAGGTTTGTCAGCCTTATCTTTGTGTCATTGGTCAGAAAGGACAGGGGTGTCAGACGCTTAGTGCTCTGCCTTAACTTATCAGGGTGGGCAACAGAAATGCCTTCAAACCACATCACCCCAGACTGATGCCTCTGTCTTTTTCTCTAAGTGTCCTTTTCTAATACTGATGCTGTTGTAAACAACTGTGCTTTGCCAACTGGATTTTTATTGTCCTTTCCTTCCCTTCTGCAGTCCTGCTGGGGCAGGCAGCAGGGTCTGGATGTCCTCACCTTCAGGGGTGGTGTGAACCCACAGGGTCAGGGGTGATCTTTCTGGTAACCTGCTCCAGGGGGATGAGAAACTCTTGTAGGCGTAAAACATAGATGAGGGATTAGATGGCTCCTTCATAATGTTTCTTTGCTGTCCTGTTCCTGCTATAATAACTCCTGGATACTTTGTGATGTTCAGTGAGAGGGTTTCACACTGTGCAGAGTGTCAGTTTTAGTTAGAGACACATTGTTGGACTGGTGAACCAGAAATTTGCTCCAGTTTGGCAGGAGACAGAAAGCTCAGACAGACTAATAGCCTGGTGTGGCAAGTGTTGCTGGAGATGGAGGTTAGGGCACAGTATGACTCTGTGTAGCAAACCTGTTTCCTCTGATAAATTGCACTCTTGCAGGTACCAAGCCAGTGTGTGGAAAGTCCTGTGTACCCTTCTCCTCCTGTGTACAGCCCTGGGAAGCAGGGGTTCAAGTCCAAGAGCACCAGCACTCCCACACCTTTGACCAGTGCAGGAGGTGGCGGTGTGGTTGGTTTTGATTCCACCTCTGCTGCCAAAAGTCGGCGCTGCAAAAACGAGAGCACGCTGCAGGAAGGTAAGTGTCCTTATAGCATTTGCCCTGGACTAACCTGTAGGCCAGCGTGCTTATCCTGTAGCGGACTGTCGAGCCAAAGTCCAAGAGCACCAGCACTCCCACACCTTTGACCAGTGCAGGAGGTGGCGGTGTGGTTGGTTTTGATTCCACCTCTGCTGCCAAAAGTCGGCGCTGCAAAAACGAGAGCACGCTGCAGGAAGGTAAGTGTCCTTATAGCATTTGCCCTGGACTAACCTGTAGGCCAGCGTGCTTATCCTGTAGCGGACTGGGGAGCCACAGGCTCTCCAGCTGCAGCAGGGTGGCACTGGCTGTGCATGCAGCTCTGGAGGAGGAACATGATGCCTTGCACAAAGCTATCAAGATGAGGTGAGAGTGTGGACATGCTTCTTGTCTGTCACCTCTGAGCACAGGTGAAAGGGCTGTTACTGTGCTACTGCATGGGCAGGCTTGCATTAGATCTCTGCAGCTACACCTGAAATGGGGAGGTCCTGCAAAGTAAGGTGTTAGAGCTTGGTCCGTTTTAACCCAAGGAAGACTGCCCAGCTGCAGGGCCCAGCTGACCTGTCCTTGCCATGTCTTTCAATGCCTGTGAAGAAAACTCACCTGTCCCCAGGTGAGGCAGGACAGGGGCGTACCCCGTTACGGGATGGAGAAGTGTCAGATCATCCGCTGGCTGAGCCTGCCCATTGCTGGTGTGATGCAAGCACACCTAGCTGAGCGACAGGGGAGCTCCCAGGTGTGGGGTGGAGGACAGCCATGTGGCCTTCCTCCCCAGGAAGGTTGGGCCTCTGGAGTTATAACCATACAGATGCTTTAACATTATTTGCAGAGGTGTGAATGATCATGCAGCCTACAGCTCTCAGGCCAGAATTTCCCAGAGCAGCCCACAGTTCTGCTGTTTTCCATTGGTTTATACCCCATCATAGTAGATAGAAGATGTGACTGACTGATCTTTGGGATGGGCGAAATATGCATGTGCTCTGACTGATGGCTGACCCTGGTGAGTTCACAGGAGAGAGACAGAACTGGGGCCCTTCCTCTTGCTAATCCTGTGTCCTCTCCCAGTGCCCAACATGCCTTTGAAGTTGGTGCTTTGTAGCACAGCTGGAAGGGTCCCTGGAGTGGTTAATGCCTGAAGGGGATGCCCTACCCCCTCTACTACTACTCTCCTCAGTACTTCCAGAGTTAGCTGAGGCTATGTTACATATATGTTTGTGCCTGTAACCTCTTCCCAATCTGACCAGGTAGATCTTATTCTTTCATAAGCCCTTTATTCTTGGCCCTGAGTAGACATGTCTTGGGGTGAGGGCCCTGTGGCACAGAGGGGGACAGGCCTGTGCCACATGATCTCATTTCTGTGTGTGCTCTTGCTCTTTCAGGCAAACCCAAGTCCCCCAAGCTGAAATGCACTTACTGTGACAAGGCCTTCACCAAGAACTTTGACCTGCAGCAGCACATCAGAAGGTAATGGTGCCGCGAGCCCAGACACAGCAGAGTGGCTGGAGTGGAGGTGGGCACAGCCCCGCTGAGGGAGTCTGCGCAGTCCATGAGACCTTGTGTTTGTCACATCCCAGAATCTGTGCTGTGCTGGGAGGTGATCCTTCATCCCCCTTCCCCCAGGACACCTTCTCTCCAGTGGCTGGGGTGAAAGTTGCATCATGGATATAATCTTGCTGATTATGGGCTGGGACTGGAGACTTGTTTTCCTCGCTGATGAGACCTTGAAAGCCAAACCTGTTGTCACCTGATCGCTGGAGCAGCAGCATCTCCACTGCTTGCCTCTGCCCTTTCCTCTTCCCTCCCTCCCTAGCAAGCTGCAGCCTTCATGTTTGCTGGTGGTAGCAAACTGTAAGCTAAGCTCAGTGTCTGTATAGGGAGCTTTTACAAGAGAGCTTTTCTCTGGTGGGAGGCAGTTGAAATCTTCAGAGTTTCCTCCAGTGGAGTCTACCAAACTCAGGACAGATGAGAAGGAACAAGTGGTGGTTTCTCTCCCCGTCCCAGCCTGGACTCTCCACATGATGTCCTCCATGTGTTAGAGTCCACTCTCTCCTGCAGCAGAAGGGCAGGGTAGAAAGACCTTTCTGCTGTGGACAGGGGAAGGCAAATTCAGGGAGATCAGGTGGCTGCAAGCTAGAAGAGACAAGTGTGCAGGGGAGGGAGGGGTGACAGGGAAGAAAAGGGTTTTACACCTGAGAAAGTGATGGGGTCTCTGAGGTCTGTGCGGAGACCTCTGCCTCTACTACTACTCTCCTCAGTACTTCCAGAGTTAGCTGAGGCTATGTTACATATATGTTTGTGCCTGTAACCTCTTCCCAATCTGACCAGGTAGATCTTATTCTTTCATAAGCCCTTTATTCTTGGCCCTGAGTAGACATGTCTTGGGGTGAGGGCCCTGTGGCACAGAGGGGGACAGGCCTGTGCCACATGATCTCATTTCTGTGTGTGCTCTTGCTCTTTCAGGCAAACCCAAGTCCCCCAAGCTGAAATGCACTTACTGTGACAAGGCCTTCACCAAGAACTTTGACCTGCAGCAGCACATCAGAAGGTAATGGTGCCGCGAGCCCAGACACAGCAGAGTGGCTGGAGTGGAGGTGGGCACAGCCCCGCTGAGGGAGTCTGCGCAGTCCATGAGACCTTGTGTTTGTCACATCCCAGAATCTGTGCTGTGCTGGGAGGTGATCCTTCATCCCCCTTCCCCCAGGACACCTTCTCTCCAGTGGCTGGGGTGAAAGTTGCATCATGGATATAATCTTGCTGATTATGGGCTGGGACTGGAGACTTGTTTTCCTCGCTGATGAGACCTTGAAAGCCAAACCTGTTGTCACCTGATCGCTGGAGCAGCAGCATCTCCACTGCTTGCCTCTGCCCTTTCCTCTTCCCTCCCTCCCTAGCAAGCTGCAGCCTTCATGTTTGCTGGTGGTAGCAAACTGTAAGCTAAGCTCAGTGTCTGTATAGGGAGCTTTTACAAGAGAGCTTTTCTCTGGTGGGAGGCAGTTGAAATCTTCAGAGTTTCCTCCAGTGGAGTCTACCAAACTCAGGACAGATGAGAAGGAACAAGTGGTGGTTTCTCTCCCCGTCCCAGCCTGGACTCTCCACATGATGTCCTCCATGTGTTAGAGTCCACTCTCTCCTGCAGCAGAAGGGCAGGGTAGAAAGACCTTTCTGCTGTGGACAGGGGAAGGCAAATTCAGGGAGATCAGGTGGCTGCAAGCTAGAAGAGACAAGTGTGCAGGGGAGGGAGGGGTGACAGGGAAGAAAAGGGTTTTACACCTGAGAAAGTGATGGGGTCTCTGAGGTCTGTGCGGAGACCTCTGATGTTGCAGAGGTCTTTTCCTCTCCCACTTTCTCCTTTGATCCCTTGTCATCCCAGATGGTGAGTGTTTTGTCTGTGTGCCAGGCTTGTTTCCCCAGGCCTCTCACGATCCATTTTCTCTAGTTAATCAGGCCTCAAAGTCCTTGTTTGGCTGGTCCGGGTGCTGATCAGCCAAGCAGGGTGCTTAGTGCAGTCCTACAGCAGCCACCCTACCCGCAGTCCATGCCTGGGGGCTGCCTCCTCTCTGCTGGTTGCTGATATGGTGCCTTCTACCTTCAGTCACACAGGCGAGAAGCCCTTCCAGTGCATTGTGTGCGGCCGAGCCTTTGCCCAGAAGTCCAACGTGAAGAAGCACATGCAAACGCATAAAGTGTGGCCTCCAGGGCTGGGGTGCACGATTTCCCGCAACTCCATCACGGTGCAGGTCATGGCCTTGAACCCCAACCAGCCAGAGGATGAGGAGCACACAGGTTTGCTGCCTGGGGATGGCACGTGCTGGGGGCAGAGCAGTGATGTGAGGAATCTGCACGTCCCTGCACTTCCACACAAGGAGGAGGGGAGACAGGAGCTGTGTGTGCTGTTTGCATTCCTCCCATCAGGTTTAGC